CCGACTGAGTCAGGCAGGCACCCCCTAAAATCTGGGTTTTAAAGTCTTCAGGCGATTCTAATGCACACTAAGGGTTGAGAACCACTATTTTAATCCCAAGCCACCCTAGCCAAGCCAGGGTTTTTTTTTTTTTTTTTTTACCACCCTACTTCAAAATGACTTGATGTTTCCTTTCAACTTCAACTGTGTATGATTTTATGAAATGTCTCATTATATTGTCATATTGTTGCTTATAATGCTATCATAACCAATTTTTAGACTTGACTTGAGTTACAGCTAGATATGGTGTTTCCCAGTTAGCTAGGAGGCTCTTTTAAAAGGATATTTTATTCAATAAATTATTCAATTGAAAATCGTATACCATGCTTTATATACATTAACAGCTTGACATATTTGCAGAGAATTATTTGGAAAAGCTCTTTAAAAAGCTTCATTTATGTAGAAAACCTATATATAGATCTGCCTCCCAAAGAGCCCTTTGAATACTTATTACTGCAAATAGTATGAAGCGATTTAAGGAAAAAATTCCAGTTACTCTGATAGCACCAAGGGTTGTCTGCCACATAAGGCAAAAGAATGTAAAAATTCTCACATGTATCTAGGGATAGACTGAAAGGCGGTAAGCCTCAGGCTACCTTACTACAACATGCAAATAAAAACTGCCCTGTACACTTATGTGGCATACACCAACTCCACTGTTGGGGATAAATAGGCTTCTTGATGCAACACCCTTATCTGCAAATTTGCAGAAACAGGGTGGAATGGAGACCTCTGAGTGACAGGTCAGATTCAACCAGAAGCTGAATCTAAAGGAAAGGACAGCAAAGAGAAAATGAAGGGCAAGGAGGAGGAACAGAAGGGCAGCAGGAAAACATCACTCTGAGTAATGAAAAGGAGCAGTGGAAATTCACAGAGTCTTTACCAATGCCTACTATGAACCAAGCACTTGGAGCTGCAAAGCAGACCTGACCTCAAGGGGCGAATAGTCCTGAGGGTAAGACTGAAGCTTCTACCCTACTGTGTATGTGTGTGATTCTAATTGGGAAAATCAAGCAAGGAAGACTTCACAGAAAAGGTGGTGAGTTAATGGAGCTTTGAAGTGTATAGGAAGATTTCCTAAGGGAGAAAAAAAGACACCTGAGCTAGTTATTTTGGGGAAGAAACATTCACATATTTTTACAGCTGTTCCTTTGGGACTTTAAATCATGGAGGCTTCTTGTATTCACCACCACTTTGTCAATGCCTTCTTTCTCTTACTTTATCTTAAATACTGAGATGTTCAAGCCCAGCGTTGGAACAGAGCCCAAAAGCCCCAGAATGAGGTGAGTGCTCGCCAAATTTGCTCTGTCACCTCCAGATCCCGCCAGCCCAGCTAGCCCAGTCCTGCTCTCCTGGCAGCCAGAAAAGGAAGACTAATTATATCCTCTGCGGGGCCAGACTGGGGGTAAACTTTGGATGCGGGCAGACAAGGCTTATCCTTGTTCTGCCAGTGAGGTACCATGAGAGAGCTTCCTTGCCTCCTAAGCCAAGAGGTTCTAGTCTGTCTACCTGTGACTTGGAGGCCAGCTTCGAGGGGGAGGGGGGGAAGCTGGGGACGCACTGGATTGGGAAATGCTGAGGTATTGAGATAATCATCATAAAATGTTTAATAATATCCCTGGCACACGGCAAGCATTGGATGAAGGTGAGCTTTTATCAACAACACACTACTACTATTATTATTATTACAGTAACACCTCAATTATACTCCAACAAGATACTGTTTTCACAGCCTACTTTTATGACGTTGAAGCAGCAACTCCAGAGATACAAGTGTATTTCAAAAAATTTTAAAGGTACAAGACCAAATTCTAACTGTACTGGCCTGAAAGCCCGAGACCCTGACTTCAAGAGCTAGCCCTTGCCCCTATCAAGCGCGTGACCTTGGGCAGGGCACTTCACCTGTGCCTCAGTTTCCTCATCTGTAAAGTGGGGCTAAGAAGCCCCTCCCTCGCACGGTCATCGTGGGGTCCAGCCCGAGGGTACTCCTCGCTGCCCCGGGGTCGCACGCACGCAACGCGAGCTCCCGGCCCACCTTTCAAGCTCCCTGGCTTCGGGACGGGCGGGGTGGGTGAACGCCCGACCCAAGGCCCACCGACCTATGCCGCCTGTTCGGCAGGAGCGGGAAAGGGGGGCGCGCTTAAGGTGCGTCCCTGAGACCGAGGGGGTCGGGCGCCCGCACGCTGTCATCGGCGGCTTCGTTGCCAGGCCCCGAAGCCCCGGCGCGGGGAGCGGCTGAGGGAGGCCGGACTGACCCGGGTCCCGCCGGCGGGGAGAGCGAAGGGCGCAGGGGGACCCGGAGGAGGCTGGCACCGCGAGCCCCCGCGCGCCGCGGAGATGAGGAGCGGAAGGAGAAAGCACGGGGAGCGACGCCCCCGCAGGCAGCGCCTCGCGTCCCCAGCGGGCCAGGCTGATGCGCTCACTCACCTGAGGCGCGGGCACCCGCCAGCAGTGCAGCAGCGGCAGCAGCAGCAGCGGTGGCGGCTGTGAGAGGGGCGGGGAAGGCTCTGCGGCCGCGCAGGCGCGCTGAGGGTGCCGGGGCCGCGCAGGCGCGCTGTGCCTGCCCCCTCGGGAACTACCGAGAAGATGGTGGCTGAGCCGTGAGGGCCCTGTGGCGCCATCTTGGCTGTAGTTTTTCATGTTGCGGAGTCTCCCCGGAGAACCTAAAACTAGAGCGGCCCGGAGGGAGGGGCGTTGAGTGCTGCGTCTGGCCCGCCTCCTCCCTTTCCGCCAAATCAGATCCTAGTGAAGCTCTTAAGAACAACAGCAAAAAAAAAACTCTTGCAAGGCAAGGAAGGCATCCTCCTTTTACGTGGATCCAGAGATGTACCCAAGGGCACATAGCCTAGCACAGTGCTTGGCTTGTGGGAGGCGCTTACCAAATTTTTGGTGAATGAGTACAGTTAACTGAAGAACTAGAATCCAAGATTCAGGGCCCCTAATTCCCAGTCCTCCATTCTATCTCTATTACAACTGCCAGCCACACCACCTCCTTTCTTGGGTGCCACAGAGAAATGGAGTTTTGGTGTGTGTTTGTTTTTTTTTTTTTTTTAAGATTTTTAATTTTTTATTAGAGAGAGAGGGAGAGTACGAGCAGGCAGAGGGAGAGTGAGAGGCAGGCTCCCCGCTCAGCAGGGAGCCCAACGTGGGGCCCGATCCCAGGACCCTGGAATCATGACCTGGGCCGAAGGCAGTCGCTTAATCTACTGAGCTACCCAGGCACCCCTGGTGTGTTTTTGTTTTAAGAACGTTTACAGATTAAGCTTAATGACCCAACGATATAACACCAAAATATAAAAGACATAATACCCTCCCTGAAAGAGATTCTTGGTTAATCTCACTGACTAAAAACTAAATTAGGACAAACGGAAGGAATTTTACCAAACATGTCAAGGACAGCAACTGTCTGTAACATTGTTACTCGTCAAGCACAATTCCTGAAGGAAACTTGGGAAGAGGGGAAACTGAAGTTAACTGAGCACAGACTTTTATGATTTATCTGTTAACACAGAGTGCCAAATTGGTTCTACTATCTCTATGTCCTTGGTTAGATTATTAAGCCTCTGACTGCTTGAGTTCCTCATCTATAGTGACAAAAAAATACAAGCTACCTAAGTTGTGGTCTGTATGCATGTAAAATCCTTAGAGCTTATAAGTATTATTTTTCTATGCTCTAACTTATTTGGCTGTTGAAGATGCAGACAAAAACACACTTTTTACCCTTGAGTTTGAACAAATTCTTACAAACAAAAAATGCAATATGATGTAATAAATAAAATGACAGAGGGTCCAATCACCTGGGAGAGGTGTGATCTATCCCCATTTTACAGATGAGTAAATTTGAGCATAAGAGATAAAGATTCACTTCAAACTCTTTCCATTATACTACTCTGCTTCTGAAAGAGTAGGCAACTAACACCACTCCTCTGATGCTTAAGAGCCCCAGCTTTCCTTGGGGCTGTCCAAAGTTTCCCTCTTGCTCTAGCTTTGACAATCAATATTATCCATTCTCAAGGCTTCAACAGCTACATATCAGTTACTTCCAAATTTTATCTCCAGTCCAAATGTCTCTACCCAATTTTCCATGTCTATATCCAATGGTCTAGTTGACTTCTCTATTTGGTATCTCAAATTGAACTACTAGCTTTCTCACCTCATTAGCTGCTCTATTAATCCACCCAGTTGTTCAAGCTTTTGCCCCTCCAGCACATTGATACCACTGTTCTAAATTTATACTTTTTAATCTAACTTATAGCATCCCTGTGATATAAGTTCTATCTTTCTCCCAATCTTACAGATAAGAGGTTAAATAACTTTTTCTCGGTTGAAGTGGCACTTAGGCTTTTAACACATAGGTCACATGACTACAAAGTTCCAGACACTATGAGCAACTCCCATGTCTGTTTTTGTTCTTCGTTCTCTCCCCAGTTCTTAGAACTATACCTGGCATATAGCAGGGGCTCTGTAAATACATGAAAGAAAAAGGAATGTGGGGGGGGTGCCTGGATGGCTCAGTCAGTAAAGCATCTGCCTTTGGCTCAGGTCATGATCGTGGGGTCCTGGGATCAAGTTTTGTGTGGGGCTCCCTGCTTAGCAAGAAGCCTGCTTCTCCCTCTGGCAAATAAATAAATAAAATCTCTTAAAAAAAAAAAAAAAAAAGGAATGTAGGTCAAAGGAAGGAGACACCACCTTTCCCTAATTGGTACTTAGGCCAAGGTTTAAGACTTAAGATTATGACTGGGTATTTAAATGAAGTAGGCTTTATCCTATTAGGAGGATCAGAGAATAAGAAACATTAACAATAAATTAGTTGGTGTTTTCCTGGTAATTAATGCTGAGGCATATTTCCACACTACTGTTCACTTCAGCATCTTGGCAAAGAATCCTATTTTCTGCTAAGCCCCCACTGCCTTAAAAAAATTTTTTATATGCTCAGTGTATACACAAAGACAAAAGAAAGCTTTTAATAATGTGCAATTTTATAATGCAAATTATTAAAAATAGAGAACAATGAAAAACAGTACTTAGCTCCCTCCTGCCATGAATCCAGGAGTTAGGATGTCAACTCAATATTAAAACCTAAAGCACACTGTGAACAGGACAGAGAATGAATGGTATTTCCTTCAACCTGGACATCGTGTAAAGTGGTAACACATTTATCCACATGATGCAAACAATGCTCACAACTCCTCTACCAAAAATCACCTTCAGCGCCACACTAGAAAATTAGTCCCATTCCTTTACTACCAGAACCCAACTTGACCCCTAAAATGTTTCCCTGGATTTGGTCCTGAATGACTTTGGATTGTTTCAAAACCTAAAAAACATCTTCACAAGATGAAGATTACTGACCATGAAGGATATTTAAAAGAATGGGCTACTAGTTCTCAAGGTCATTCCACAATAGAAGTTGCAAGCATTTTGCACATTCTTGGAAAAAGCATCTATACTACACTCTTTCAGAATCATAAATTCTGTCACTTTTAGGAAAAAAAAAACTGCAGGGCTCTACATTCAGCCCGTTATCCTCAAAGGCAACAAAGGCAGCTATCACCAGCTCAGACTGCCACGCAGTTGCCATGTGCTGGGGCACTCTTCCCATTTCTCTCCTCTGGAGCACCTTGTGCAGGAAAGCTACATGAAGTCACTGACAAGACTTAGAGCAATGTGTGGTAGGTGGGTTCTGTAGCTGAAGCTTGAGCAGTTTTCGAGCTGGAGAGGGGTCTAATTGTTGTGTGCTTCTCTTCCCTGCAGAGGAAAGACAAAAGTAAATTTCAATTGAATTCAAAATAACATTTATTGAAAACTTCTTGTATGGACAACTGTGCCAGACACTGAAGGGCATTACAATGACAAATAAGAGTCTCTGTCCTCAAGGAGATGGCAGTCCGGCAGGAAAGCCAGCTGCAACCACAACCATAATACAATGTAATGAGAAAACGAAGGTACATATAGCAAATAATTTAGGGCTGGAGGAGGCCAAGGAAAAGCAACAGGGAAGTAATGTCAGTGTCACTTAGTGGATTCTTGAAGAATGAAGAGGAAAACGACAATGGATATTTAAAAGCTTGGATTTACTAAAACACAGTTTGTGGGGATTTAATTTTCCAATCTACTGTGTTCCTGTGGAATTCACATCTAGAAATTTCCCATCAACTTTGAGTACCCACAGCATAATAATTATGGTGAGGGGAGAAAAAGAAATCATCTCATACAGGCCTTATTTTCTGAGACCATATGCTTTGAAGGGTAGTTTGTATCTGAAGGGCTATCACATATAAAATAGCGCAAGCTCTAGTCCCCTGAAGACACACACTCACCGAGCTGTACTGACACCTTCTGGAGACACTGGGTACTTTCATCCATAAAAGCATGCAGCTGCCTCACTGACCCTTGCAGTTCATCCATCTGCACATGAAAAACAGCTGTGAGCTATAAGGGTCTGTGACTTCTTTGATGTTCCTCAAGAAGGGACAGGCAAGCTCCTGCTCAGGAGCTTTGCTTTGCTGTCTTTTCAACCTGGAAAGCTTGTGCCACACACTTTGTTTGCTCCTCCAGATTCACACTGCACTTCTCCATGTTGCTCTATGGCCTGGGAGGCTGCCAAGCATAACCTCAAACAGGATTCCATGTCCTCTGGTGTCTGGGCAGGTTTAGCCAAGAGGGAGCCCAAGTGGGAGGGAGTTGAATGAAGTCAGGATATTTTTATGCAGGCTTGCTGGAAGGGTCGTCTTGAGTTAGTTTTGTCTCTCAACTAAAGGTCATCGCCCACTATATAACTTTCTTCCTCTGGTACCACAGTGACTGTTCTTCCCCTCCACCCTTCAGGCCTAGGGACAGTAAGAGTTCAGCTGCCTCTAAGCCCCAGGTTACTGCACTAATCCTTGTGGTTTCCTCAATACCTACACTTTATATATCACTCCTTCAATTAACCTTTATCAAGTGCATCTACTTTCTGTTGATACTTGGAGTGATACAATACCATTCTCCCAAATGTCCTCAGGGCTCACTTCCTCATTTCTTTCAAGTGTTTGTTAAAATGGCACCTTAGAGGGGCACCTAGGTGGTTCAGTTGGTTAAGCATCTGCCTTCGGCTCAGGTCATGATCCCAGGGATCGAACCCTGTGTTGGGCTCCCTGCTCAGCGGGGAGCCTGCTTCTCGCTCTCCCTCTGCCTGCAGCTCCCCTTGCTTGTGCTCTTTCTCTGTCAAATGAATAAATAAAATATGAGCCAACTCACCACCAACTCCATATAATCAAAGACTTTGTTTTGGTTCTGCAATATCTTCTGGTAGTCAGGCTTTGTATTAAGGACTTCACTCTGGGAAGATCCAAGATATGTTGCAGGTTCCACTTCAACTTCAGTAACTTTGGTTTCAGCTGATCCTCTGGAAGGAAAAAAAAGAACAAAAGAGCGTTCAAGGAATTTTTTTTAAAGGGTTTTTAATTATTTATTTATTTGAGAGAGAGACAGAGAGCACAAGCAGAGGGGGGAGGGAGAAGCAGAATCCCCACTGAGCAGGGACCTGACACAGGGCTTGATCCCAGGACCTTGAGATCATGACCTGAGCCAAAGGCAGATGCTTAACAGACTGAGCCAGCCAGGCGCCCCTCAAGGAATTTTTATCATCATTTTCTGGGGGAAGATATGTAAGACAACCTAGGGGAGAAAATCGCCATTAAGGCTTTATTAACCTGAACCAATATTCTTCCACTCTACTGTAGGCGTAGGCTTTCTTATTAATAAGGGGGTCTGAAACGATTATTCTAGTGTCAATATATTTATAACACTGGGCTCCAGGAAATGCTAGAACCTTCAGCTCAGTTGACTCCACCTAACAGTAAGGTCCATTTACAAAAAGGACTATAGGTGGGGTATGGTAAAGCCAAAGCTTGCTTTCCTGAAATCCATATCTATGATCTTTTCCGAAAAATGCTGGGCCACTTCAATTATCTGAAATAACTGAATATGATGGAAAGTTCATGAAAACTGAGGACTCTTTAACAACAACCACTCCCAAAATTTCCTGACTGCCAGACCCTGCTAAACACGTTCCATTTCACCTCACTTTACACTCACAACAACCCAATGAGGTGGGTACTAATATTATCCCCGTTTTCAAGAGGAACTTCAAGCTTAGAGATTAAGTAGCTTGCCCAAGGTCACAAAATGAAGGCGTAATTAGTATTTTAACAGAGACACTCTGCTTCCAGAAGCATTCCTCTTAACCAATAAGCTATGCCACATCAAAAGTTCTTATTCTGAAACTTTCATCTTATACTTTACCTATCTTCATAAACAGAACATGTAAGGGGCAAATAAAGTAACTGGTAACCATCAGTGCCTAGACTGCGGAAGTTTTCAAACCATGTTCCTGAAAGCACCTCCTTACAAAGAGGCCACTTCTGCAGTTAGGGTTTTAGCTAACATTAAATATTTGGGTTTCTAGCTGAGATACTGTTGGGGGAAAAAAAGCTTAAAATCACTGGCTTAGATGGCCAACTAAATCAAAGTCTAGCACTTTCCCACTTTTTATGCCTTTAGGACCCAAAGATCCTCTCTCTCCTATACACCCTCTTTCATCACCCCCTTCCATGTCTTTGCATCTCCACGAAGGACCTGGCCAGGGTTCTCTCCCTTACCTGCAGCTTAAAGGCCACGTGCAAACTGATGTACCCTGACCAAGATTTTGGCCCAAGCCCGGGTGCCCCGGTACAGGGCAGAGATGGGCCTGTCTCCTCCAGGATGTGGGAAAGCAGCCAAGGACACAGAACAGAAGCAATTCTGTTCTTTGACTGAAAATAGTGACACCCACTCTCCCTCCCTTTCCCCCAACTCTCCATTTATAGTTCTAGAGTGCTAATACACATTTTATAGAGCTTTGATGAGCTGATTGGCCTATGAGAAAGGATTCATCTTTCAATTTGTGCTAATAGAACTGAAATCAATTCAAATCAAATTCCACAAGGTAAAAAGATAGCTTCCCATTTCCAATCATGGAGCTAACCTGGATATGATCTCTTCAGCCTCCTTCTGGTAGTACTGCAAGAGCTGATCCCAAGACTGACGTTCCAAAGAAAATCTATAGAATCAGGAAAAAAATAATCAGTTACTTTTTGATCATCTCATTCTGAATCACTGAGGGCAACAATAAGTACATCAGGTGTCTACTCTCCTTCTAAGATGTGAATAAAAAGGTCATTAAAGGATTAGAAAGCCCGACTGATTCAGAGGATGTTAATTTAATCAAATCAAACATGAGTTCTTAAAATCAAATTAACATCCTTATTCCCTAGACTCCATTCTATGAAACTGGCTATCAGTAAAGCCCACAAGATCCCAATATGCAGTTTTCTAAATTCCAGTGTTGACACACTAGTACTGAGACTCTGAATGGAATGTTTACTATTAATTTTTTCCAGACCTAGTTATTTTCCCCAGATGAATTTAGATTTTCCAACAAAAGATCACTCATTTTCACTTACTTTGTTATGTATTCCTTCATTTCAGCCACTGATGTTTCCAGAGACAAATCTGATGATTTTCTGAAACACAGATAGGACTGTAAGATCAATATAAATCTTTCAAAAGCCCTTGCTTTTAATAGGATGCCTTACAAAATTTTAATGGCAGTAAAAGATATTCAGAATTCATCTTTCAACAAATATTAATCCTTGAGGTCTCTCTCACTTTTGCACTAGATAACAATTTCCTCAGTGGTCTCTTTATTTTCCATTTCTCTCATCGATTCCAATTCACCTATAGCGAGATTACCCTTCCCTAAAATATTCCTTAATTTTGTTTTCCTTGCCTAAAACTCCGTGACTCTTGACTGCATTCAGAATAAAAGTGAAAACTCTTCAACCTGGCACTTTAGGCTGTTTTGGCTCCAACCAGCTCATTAACTTTGATTCCAATTGTTTCCTTTCACCTATTCTGCCCCATATAATCTCACTCAGCCCCACCCTCAAACATCTGGAGTTTTCTATCTCCAAACTTTTGTTCACATCATTTTTTTAAAAATATTTATTTATTTATTTATTTATTTATTTGAGAGAGAGAGAGAGAAAGCGTGAGTGGAGGAAGCGACAGAGGGATTGAATATCCAAGCAGATTCTCGCTAAGCATGGAGCCTGACTTGGGGCTTGATCTCACTAGCCATGAGATCAGGACCTGAGCAGAATCCAAGAGTCAGACACTCAACTGACTGAGCTGCCCAGGTGCCCCTGGTGAACACTGTTTTTGTGTCTCTTCTTTTTGAGTCACCTTTTAAGGCCCAACAATACTTTTGTATGTGACACCTCTTCTTCCCACTCAAAATGATGCTATCAGTGGACAGGGATTATGTATATTTACACTAATGGCTCAGCTCAGTTGGGTAACTAATCCTGATGGAAAAGAAGCCCTGAAAATGCCAAAATTCTGCAGATGTACTCGGTACTCTACCTGGCAAAGACAAGTTAGTTGTGCCACCTTTCATGTTTCTCCATCAAGGCCTGTGACACAAAGCCTCTATCACCTCTGAGATGCAGCAGCTGGGACTTAAATACACTGCATTAAAAGAGATACTATGCTAAGCCAACATATTTTTCATCTCCTGGATAGTAATATTCTTTTTTTTTTTTTAAGATTTTATTTATTTATTTGACAGAGAGAGACACAGCGAGAGAAGGAACACAAGCAGGGGGAATGGGAAAGGGAGAAGCAGGCTTCCCGCGGAGCAGGGAGCCCAATGCGGGGCTCGATCCCAGGACCCTGGGATCATGACCTGAGCCGAAGGCAGACGCTTAACGACTGAGCCACCCAGGCGCCCCGGCAATGTTAATTCTAACAATCTGTGGGAAAGTAAACCTTTGTGAAGTCAAAACTAAAAAGTTTTATGAGGTAAGCCCAGGTGACATGATTTATTGCAAGGCAGGAGATAGAGGGTTAGACCCTGCCCCTATAAAGGAACTACCAGTTTGGGGCTGGGATTTAAAAACTTCTAAGATTCTTGCTTACCAACAGCTGAAGAACATAAGTTTATCACCAACTTGCCTTGCTAGCAAATATCTGAACAATGCTTTTCCTCTCATCTTTCCATGGCTGGTTCCTTCCCACCACTCAGGTCTTACAGGTCTTCTCTGTACACTAACTAAAGTTGTGTACACCCCCTTCAAGTACCTATCATAGTGACTGACTGCTTAGATCATCACTACCTGAAATCCTTATTTTCTACGTATTTGATTGTCTCTCCTGTTAAAATACTTAAGAAAGACCTTGCTTATTTATCATTTTATCTCCAGCATCTAGAAGAGCCTGATGTGTAGAAGATGCTGGATAAATGTTTGTTGAGTGAATAAGCAACTAATTATAATGAAAAGTCTTAATTCAATTATAATTTAGAACAGAAGGGGAACTGCACATACCCTTTTGAATCTTCAAAACATTTTTGTAGAGTTCCATTACCTTCCAGGCTCTCTGCAAAATGCTTCAATTCTTCAGAAAGAGAAGATGCTAGAGGGGGGAAAAAAAAGTACGTTATAAAATATATAGAATATGAATTTCCAGAGCAAGCTGCTGACAAAGATATACCCAAGGTGGTCTCAGCTCTAGGGTCCCCTGTTACATTTTGGCCCTCTCACCTATTTAAAGAAGTAGTATAAATATGCAGAAATATTTTATCTTTGTTCTTTGGGTAGATATAGATAAAATGGAAGACAACTCCTCTTTATGACATTTATGATAGCGTTTTTTTTTTACTTGACTGGTGAAAACTAGTTAAAAGTTATACGTGCACTGACATTTCATTCTTTCAAGAAATTTCAACTGCTGGCACTGAAAGGAAGAACATATTACAGTAGTCAGGCAATAGGCAGGGGCGTAATGAAAAATGTTAAAGGAGAATAAAGAATTATGGGCATAAGGTAAAAACAGATCTCTGCTTCGACTTGGAAGAATCTACAGTTGCACTCAGGTGAGAAATGCAAAGAGGAAAGCAGATGTTAAACAGCTATCCTATCTACTCTAATTATGGTGATGGTCCAATGCCGAGATAAACAACAGCCTGAGTTCATATATTTTCCAGGTCTTTTAAGTGGGTAACACTGAATATTTCTGACCCTGGATGATTGTGTAGTTATACTGTAAAAAGCTACTTCCTAGAAAGTTGAAAATGGATTCCTAAGAATATTTGTAACTTATATCACAGATGAACAGCTAATTTCCTTAACGTATAAAGAGTTCCTACAAACTGATGTAAAAAAGCCAACATCCCAATTTTCAAAAACAAAAAAGGAGCCTTTCCGGCGGTGCCGACCTCCCCACAAGAACATCCCCTCTTGAAGGACCTCCTCCACCCATCCCAGAAGAGAAAAGGAAACACAAGAAGTGCCTGGCGCAGAGCCCTAACTCCTATTTCATGGATGTGAAGTGCCCAGGATGCTACAAAATCACCACCGCCTTTAGCCATGCACAAACAGGAGTTTTCTGTGTTGGCTGCGCCACTGTCCTTTGCCAGCCTACAGGAGGAAAAGCCAGACTTACAGAAGGATACTCCTTCAGACAGAAGCAGTGCTAAAAGCACCCTGCATCAAGATGAGGGGCAAACTATCCCAACCAACACATTATGGATTAAAAAAAAATGAACAAAGGATACAATCAAACAATACACAGAAAATGAAGTACAAGTGGCTCAAAAAAATATGAAAAAGTGCTTATCCTCTTTGAAAGAAAAAGGAACACAGATTAAAGCTAGAAAATACTTCTTATCACCTATCAAATAGTAAAAAATCTGAACTGCTTGGTAAAACTGTTAGGAGTGTGAAAAAAATAGATACTTGCATATATTGCTCGTAAGAGAATAAACTGATATAACCTTTCTGGAAGGCAATCTGGTAATTTCTCACATTTCATTTGATCTATGTAATTCCAGTTCTAGAAATTTATTTTTACTTGTGTATGTGCCGAAAGACTTGTGTAAAAAGGTATTCATGACCCTATTCATTATAATAGCAAAAGACTGGAAACAACCCTAAAAGCCCATCAGTAAAGAACTGGTTAAATGATATATGGAACATTTATAAAATGAAATGTCATATGGCTACTAAAATGTCAAGACAGTTCTGTATGTGCAATATGGAACAACATGCAAGACAAACTGGTTTAAAAAAAAAAGACAAGGGGCGCCTGGGTGGCTCAGTCAGTTAAGTGTCTGCCCTTTGCTCAGGTCATGATCCCAGGGTATCAGGATTGAGCCCCCTGTCAGGCTCCCTGCTCAGTGGGAGAGTCTACTTCTCCCCTTCCCTCTGCCTCTAACCACTGCTTGTGCTCTCTCCCTTGCTCTCTCTCTCTCTCTCTCTCAAACAAACAATAAATAAGACAAGGGGCGCCTGCGTGGTGTCTGACTCTTGGTTTCAAGTCAGGTCATGATCTCATGGTCATGAGATAAGCCCCGCATCAGGCTCCTCACTCAGCACGGAGTCTGCCTGAGTCTCTCTCTCTCTCATCTTTTGCCCCTCCCCCACCCACCCTCTCTAAAATTAGTAAATAAATCTTAAAAAAAAAAGACAAGGTAAAGAACAATGCAGAGAGTATATGTTCATTTGGTATTCATGTAAAAATGTTGGTAAAGATCTCTGTAAAATGCAGTAAGATCTCTGTAATAATCAACAGGAAGCTGGTGGCTGTGGTGGCCTCTGCAGAGGAGTTGGACTGGCTTGGGTGGGAGGCAGGCTTACGTCTCACTTTTATACCTTCTGAATGTCATAAGCATATACTCTTACTTTTTTAAACATAACTTTAAAATATAGAGGGGGGCTGGTTTTGTGAGGCAGCAGCTCCTATAAATGGAGGTCCTGAAAGTGGAGCTTCAACTGACCTAAACAGAAGGTAAAGCCAAAGGCCAAAGCTTGCTCATCTGTTCTTAGCAACTTACCTTTGGCTCTAAAACTTTCAAGACTGAAGCCCTCAGTGTCCTTTAGGAAAGGTTCAAGTTTCTGAACAGAGAACTAAATAAAGGAAAGCATTTTCAGTACAACCAAGATTTTCCAGGCCAGTCCCGAGTTCATGTAATTTCATGATGTTTAATCAACATGAAAGTAAACATGATTTAATTTTTATACCTAAGATTTTTTCCTATAAACAAATAAGTAGATCAGGAAAAATCTCTTTGCTCAGACTATACATTTTGATTTTTGGTTCAGAGAAACATGGTCATTTAATTAACACAAATGACTTATCTAAACTGATGTAAATCACAAGTTAGCCATATAATTTCCACTCGGTATGTAGTCAGACCTTAAATGTCTCCTTTAACTTAGATATTGACCTTCACCCACTTTAAATTCTCATCATTTGCTGCCAATGGGCAATCTATACTAGACTGAGGAAATCTCTGTCAGCTGCTTCAGTTAGCACCAGAACCAGTGGGATTGGTAGAGAGACTAGTCCAGAGAGAAATCAGCTGCTGCTGGGATTAAATCTGGCTTTTAAATTAATCCCACCTAGAGAGAAGCATCTTTTAATCTTAACTGATACATTACACAATACTGATCTCTTTTTGGGGCTGTCACAGTAACAGTTTAAGAAAAAAAGAAAAAGAAAAAGAAAGCATTTCTCAATTCCAAGATTCTTACCTGGAAACTGGAAAGCAGGAGAGCAACAAGCCGTTTGCTTTCTGTTAAGTTGGCACTGATGGATCTGCTGAGCTCTAACATAAAATATCACCACATGTAAGGAGCTAGATACTAATACAGTTAGCAAAGTAAAAAAAAACTGAAAATTGTCCTCCCTCCTGATGGGGTCTAACTTCAGATAAGAACGCGTAGGCAGCCTTTTCTACTTAAAAGGAGAATTTATATAGACTATATATAATTTTTTTAGACTCACCAAAAAATGAAATTTACCTATTTATATGTACTAACTTTAAAATGTTATTAAGAACTTTTTATGGATTACATTAAAATCTTATCTATTAGGGGTGCCCGGATGGCTCAGTTGGTTGAGTGTTCAACTCCTGATTTTGGCTCAGGTCAGGATCTCAGAGTAGTGAGATCAAGTCCTGCAACTGGCTTCCTGCTCAGCCGGAAGTCGGCTTGAGTTTCTCTCCCTCTGCCCCTGCCCCAGCTCATGTGCGAGCTCTCTCTCTTTCAAATAAATAATTAAATCCTTAAAAAAAAATAACATCAAAAATAGTAAAAACAATGTAACTTTAAAAATCATTTAACTTGTTTTTGATGTTTTATTTTCAACATTCAAGGAAAGGAAATGGGAACATTCGGGCATCTTTAGGACAGGCACTGCAGTGTGGTGTTTTTTTTTTTTTCTCAGGTAGGCTCCATGCCCAATGTGGGGTTTACACTCAGGACCCTGAGACCCTGAGATCAAGAGTTCCATGCTTGGGGCACCTGGGTGGCTCAGTTGGTTAAGCATCTATCTTCGGCTCAGGTCAGGATCTCAGGGTCCTGGGATGGAGCCCCACGTAGGGCTCCCTGCCCAGCGGGGGGACTGCCTCTCCCTCCTCCCCCCGACTCCTGCTCTGTTTCTGCCTCTCCCTCTTTCAAATAAATAAAATCTTATTAAAAAAAAAAAAGAGTCACATGCTCTACCGAGTAAGTCAGCCAAGTGCTCCTGCAGTGTGCTTTAAATACACTGTCTTATAAATTATTAGCTCCATTTTACAGATGGGAAAACCGAAGCTCAGAGGGCAGATAACTTGCCGGAGGCCAGATATTGGTGGAGCCAGAATTCAATCCCAAGTCTGCCACCAAAAAATGTGTATTTTCCCACTAAGAGCCATACTGCCTCTCTATAATGACCTAATAATAACATTAATAGTAATTTGTTAAACACTTGCTACATAAAAGGCAATTCATTAAATGCTATGCACACCTCATTAAAACCGAAGGCAAGTAGCTTATCAATTCCATTTTACAAAGGAGGACACTGAGGCACAAAGGCTGGATGATAGGTAACTTGCCCAAGGTCACATGGTGAGTCCCCCTGAAGTGGAGTGGGATTTTACATAATTATGCCACTGAATCCTCAAACGACTACAAGATGTAGATACTGTTTTTTTTAATTATGTCCAACTAAAAACATCAATTATTACACAGCAAAGAAAGTTTGCTCTGACAATTTGAGATACATATATTTTTGTCCCCCCGCTTCAGCTGGCTGTGTTTTTAGTTCTTTTGCCTCCTAATTATTTCTCATTGCTGTTAGTATAGAAAAACAGGATACCTTCTGCCTATAACCAAAGAAACCTGGCAAGTGGCCAGGAATAGCCAGGAGATAACCAATCTTATTACATCAGTGATTTTCTGTTATATAGAATTTTTAGGTCCACAGGCCCTGGAACAGAGATAAAGGTAGGGGTAACCTTAGGGAATTGCTTCTGTTTTCTTGGCACACCTACAGAGTAAAGTGCATGAGCACAATTGTGGCAGCAGTATGCTAAATGGCTATTTTTACCCAGATTTCCTTCTACACATTAGGCCATCTGGAAGTGAGCTAATATCTTTAAAATAATCACAATAGCTTAACACTGGAGCTATTTACTTACTATATGCCAAGAACTGGGTTATATATCAATTCATTTAATTCTCACACAACCCTGTAAAATAGGTATTATTTCATCCCATTTACGGATAAGGACTGTAAGGCAAAGGAGCTTAAGTAATCTCCTCAAGGTTATACAACTAGTAAGTTCTTCCTGAAATGTGCTGGACTTTCCACATTAAATATTGTACTTCATTGCTTACTGAGATGTAATTATAAGTTCACACAAATCACATTCAAATACGGCATGTCTAAAACCTTAGTTTTCACCAAGATATTTTTACAGGCATCCTCCCTCTGAGATAGTTTCAGTTATAAAGCCTATAAGCAGGTAGCAACCCATCCACCTTCTGTTTTACTTTAGGAAATGACAGAAAGCCATACGAAATCTTTAATGCCTCTCATCCTAGCAGAGGTGAGAGTTGAACAATTGTAAACTAGAATTTCTGTTCATGGTGGAGATTACAATGGGCAGCTGTTAACATAATAGCAATCATACAGAACACTCACTAGGTGTTTGACATGAGTACTTAGGATCTTAGACTATCCCCCTTACAGATGAGGAAACTGAGGTTGACAGGGGTGACATGATTTGCTCAGTCACATAACAAGTAGCAGAGCCAAGTCATTCCTCCTCCATTCTTTCTGCCGTACCTCACTGCCTCTTATCTGAGCTGGAACTCCTGTCTTACATACGCAGCACCCCACCTGTGATGCCCTGATGAAAGGCAGGCAGTGACTTCCGCCGGCTCATTTCTTTCATACTCGCTCGCCTCCAAGATCGACTCTTGTCTTGACGATCGGGAGATTGTTCTTGGGGGGACAAATGAAGGGACCTGGACTGAAGTCCTTCCTGGTGGCCGAGATCACAACTTCCCCCCATTTTAGGGCTAGAGCCAAGGTGAATTCTTCCCTCTGAAACGCCTTGAGCCATCTCCAGGGAGGCAGGTGATTTGCTACACACTTCCACAGGGATGGGATCTGATTCCAGTGGATGATCATGAGTCTTAGTTGTCACTGGTTCCTCTTCTAGCACTTGTTATGAAAAAGTCAAAATACAAAATCAAACCCACCACAACCATGCATCTGAGCAAAAAGGTGGAAAAAGAAAATGTATGCCCCAGATCATGGAAACAGTGAGGAAGCATCTCTGCAAATATGTGAATACGTGATTCCAAATCCACCAGAAGCCAGGAAAGCATTTGTGTATAGCTGAGAAATCTGAACCCAAGGCAAGAGGTCCTTAATTTTACTACAATACTTACTTTCTATCGTCTCCGATCTAATTATTGAAGTCATCCTGGATGAAAACCCTGAAAATAGGAAAACAAGGTGATCTGTTCTTCACATTTCAGCCTCAGTCTTGCTGGGGCTTTACTACCCCAGAAGAGACCTTGTGTTGTCCAGCCTTTCTGACCTGTCCATCTCTGCGCCATGAAATTCTACCTACCTGACAAGGCCCAGCCCAGTCCCACCTCATCCACCTCCTCCAGAGACTATCAGACTATCATTATCTCCTGTGCTGAATTTCTACAGAACTCATCGTTAGAAATACTGATGTCTCGCTTAACACATACCCTCCTTTATTTCCCATGTAACTAGTCCCTCATGTCCTAGATGGCATTATGATCTACATGGTCTTCCAAACTAGAAAAATCACATCATCCTTTACTTCTTATGTTTAATCTCCCCAACCAAAGTCCTGTCCATCCTACCTCCGACAGTCTCTGGAAAACTTTTCTCCACTTCCAGTTCTTAGTTTAGTATGGGTCTCAGAACTTCCACCATCTGCCTCCCCCTCCCCAGCATAACCTTGCAGTCTCTCCACTAGTTTTCCAACATCCAGCACTGCTCCTCTCCAATCCATTCTTTAGACAGCAGCAGATTCTTCCAGTATATTCAACACCTTTCATTAACTACTCCTAACCTACCCATCCCTGCTCTCTCCTGCCACCCCCATTCCCTGCACCACTTTTGAATCTCTACATACACACTGCCTGTAAGACTTACTCAGCCTTCCCAACCTAGCTCCAATGAGAAGCTTTCAAACCACTTCTCTAGGCAAAGTTGTTTGCTCCACCCCTTAGTCTTCCTAGCACTGTAAAGTCTGTTTACAGGTCTGTCCCTAGTGGCTGTCACAGACAACTGACTGGAAGAAGGCAAGGAAGGACATGATTGAGGCGTCTCTGCATCTTCCATGCTTACCCCTCCCTCCCAGCAAAAATCTGTATGAGGGGGAGAGACTCTAAATGAAAAATGAATATATAGGGAGGGACAGCGTAGGAAAGGTAACAGAACAAGGGTGGGTAGGTCAAGGATCTAGATCCCCACAGTAGGGCTGTATCACAGATTCAAGTCTGGATAATAACAGCAACAAATGTCATTTGTTAAGCTGCTTGTTAAGCGCTTATTATATGCCACGATCTATGTATGTACGCAAGCGTTTTATTTGCATCATTATCTCATTATCCCACTGAATCCTTTCCACAGCTCTGTAAATACTATCATTAATTCCTCCCCGCAGATAGGGTTCAGAGGACCAAAAGCCCGGCCCACTGGGGACAGCCCGTGGGTGCGGATGCAGAGGTGAAATTCGAACCCGGGCCTGTGACCCACCCCCCCAGCCCTCAAACACCGTTCTGCACAGGCCCCGAGCGAGAGGCGCGGCCCGCCCTTGGGATTCCTCTCACCCGGAGGAGGTCGCAGCGCTCCAGTTCCCCCAGTCCCCTCTGTCTGGGGGGCAGCGACCGGTCTGGGCTGGGCCGAGAGGTCCGACGCCAAGGAGGCTGGTGCGGAGATGAGCCGAACGGCGTCCACGGAGAGATCTGCGACTTCCTGACCTCCGGACGACGCCAGTCCAGCCCACAGCCTCCGTCTCGGAGATACAAGCCAGCAAATCACTCTCCGCGGCCAAGAGTCGCGCTTCGACGTCCTGCGCCACTGCGGCCGCTCTTCACGGGCCTTGGGGCGCCGTCAGCTATCTGCGACACTAAGTCTGCCGCGGCTTCTGAAAGTCCCGCCAACTAAGGGCGCCTGCGCAGTTGGCAGCCTGCCGGATCCATGCACGCATGCGCAGAACGCCGGCCGCCTTCGAGGCGCATGCGTAAACTTGTGTTCAACCTCTTGCCATCCGCCCGCCCCAGCCCCTCTTGTCCAAGTCCTTACTGGTCCCGACCCGGCCACGTAAACTATTTCCGCAGCTATGCCACGCCCGCGGGGGGAGTCCCCTCCTACGGATTCCACCTCATCTTGTCCTTCGCGCTGGACGCGCTCAGAGTCGATTGGAGATGGGGAAGCAGAGGCCCAGAGAGGTACTTGCCAAAGGAATATAGTGGATCACGGGGCATCTGATGCCCTGCCGCGTCGTTAGGCCATGGTCCCCACCCCACGTTTATATTAACTGCAAAAACGTGGGCCGTGTCTTTCCCAGGGCAGAATGGAGCTCTGTACTCCCTTTGTTTTATTCTATCCCACTCCTGCTCCAGCACTTTCCTTCTGTGACCCCTTCAATATTGGCAAAGTTCAAGAACTCTTCTGTGCAGCCTCATTGCAGGCCACCCCCTGCCCAAACTGCTTGCAGCTCCTCTGCCCACCCCTATTGCTTCTTCCCTCTGCTCCTTTGCTCAAGCCGTTCCCTTGGCCTGGGAAGCCCATTCCAGCTTTTTCCTGCAAAAAAAGCCTCAACTGAGGATTCATCTCAGCCTCTTCTCTGAGGCTCCAGACTGAAAACTGTGTTCCCAGAAGCCCAACCGTGTCTACTCCACTATCCCTTGCTGGCATGGGAGCCTGCAGAGAGCAGGCTGCTTCTTCAGCACCTAGCATGATGCCATGGAAATGTCCGCTTGCATAAGTGGTCCTTTCATTCAGATCTGAAACCAAATGTTGAATTATTAGCAGTCCAGAAAATCTGAAAGACGAGTCGGGGAGCTGCCGCTGGAATGTGACTGTATTCATCCTTCCATAACAGCTGCGGTCCTTGGAAAGGTTTCCTGATGGGAGGTAGAAATCTGCCTTCCTGAAATTTTCCACTCTGTGGTTGCAGCCTGCTGGCTCTAATAGCCACCTGAAAGCAGAGCTTTGCTCTTGGTTCCCAGAATATCACTTTCTGGGGCTTAGTGGTACCCAGTTCCTTCTATGCCTGTCTCCCTCTTTCAACTCCTTGTTTGTCAATGTCCCAAGAACAGAACACAATATTCCCAGCCAGGGCTGGTCATCCTGAGGCACAGTGAGAATATTGCTTCATGGATTCCAGACCCAATACATCCTCTGTCCTTTCTCTGCTTTCAGTTCTCCCATGGCTTCCTACGGTCTACAGGACATGGACATTCCTTACCTCCTAAGGCACAGCATGATCTGACCCAGGCTTTTTCATCACTCCTCACTCCAGTGACATCCTGTGGGCTCCCCATTTCTGCTCTGCTCTGTACTAGGCTTTCATACGTGCACTCCCTCACCCTGGAGCCACCTCCTGTCAGTCTCCTGCCTATAATATGCCACTATCCCCTTCATTTATTCAACATCTCAACCTCAGGTGTCAGTTCAGATGTCCTGTGAAGTCTTCCAGTTCCTCCTGGCTCCCTGAACACCCTGGGTTCCCCCCTGCCATTGACATTTGCTTTCCTGTCTTCCAGACCTATCTATTGCATTCTCAATGCCTAGCACAAACTTAGTTCTTGTTAGCCCCTCCACACACATCTCATCCCCGAGTAAAAAGAGAGAGGGAGGGAGAGAGAGATGTAGATTTTTCATAGGATAGCCAGCTTCCAAAGTGGTCCCCAATAATCTCTGCTTCCTGGTATTCATGCCCTGTGTGTTCCTCTCCCACACTGAGTAGAGCTGATCTGTATAACCAGTAAGATACTGCAGAAATGACTTTGTGATTTTCAAAGTTTAGTCATAAAAGACATTGTGACTTCTACCCTACTTTCTTATAGATGACTTGCTCTAGGGCAAGCCAGCCGCCATGTTGTGAGGATACTCAAGCAGTGCTATGGTCTATGTGGAGAGGAACTGAGGCCTCCTCCTGCCAACACTGACTTGCCAGGCATATGAGTGAGCCACGTTGCAGATGGATCTTCTAGTCCAAGTCAAGCCTTCACATGACTGCAGCCTGATGTTTGACTGCAACCTCTTTGAGACACCTAGCTCAGTCAGAACTACCTAGCTCCCAAATTCCTGATTGACAGCACCTGTGATCTAATAAATGTTTTAGGCCAATTAATTATAATGTAATAAATAACTGACCCATGTCTAAAGTGCACTCTTTTTTCCCCTCATGATACATTTGTAAAAGTTCTTTTTGTAGAAAGTTAACATTTTTGAACACTCTGCAGGTTTCTCAGTGGTCATATCACACTCCAAAGGAGACTCTGAGGTGTAAGGAATCAGTATCCAGAACCCCTGGTGGCCTCTCCCAAGTGACCCCAAACTAGTCAGCTGACTGTGACATTCCCAGGGCTCCTGCCTTCCCAAGCAACTGGGCTGTGTGTGTGTGTGGGGGGGGGGTAAAGTCAGGTTTCAAATCTGATGGGGACCCCACCCACCCTGCAAGAGAAATCAGAGAGGAGGCCAAATCCATGGAAACTGTGCATATGACATACTTTATTTCCAATCTACAACCATTAAAAACCTTTTGTAAGTTTACACTGTACAGTTATTCTCATGTCTGAAATAAGACACGGGCAGGGAGAGCTGGAGGATTGGGCCAGTTGTCCTCGCACCCAATCCATTTTGGGAAGGAGCCTTTTGAAGACAAGTGGGGAAGAGAGAACAGTGGACAGGAGAGGCAGACAGTTTGGCCCAAGGATGGCCTTGGTCCCTTCCCTCCCGAGGGCCTTTCCCTGGGGGTCCCCTAGGGCCCAGGACCCTCACCAAGAAACCAGGCTGGGCAGGAAGGGCGGGGGGGGGGGGGCTTCACAGTATTGGCAGGGGTTGGGGACGGGGGCCAAGATGGGAGGACAGTTTCTGGCTCTCTTCCTCAACTGCTGGGGGTTGGAGCTGGTTTTTGACACTGTCTACTTGTGTCTCCCTGGAGGTGGGAGGAGGAAGAGGAGGAGGAGCTAGGGATTTAGGAGTCTTTCCTTGAGGAGTTAGTTTTCTTACTACTTGAAGAGAGGTCATGAGCCTGTGGTGAGGTTTCCAAGGGATACATGGTCAGGGTCTTTATCTCCTGCCCTCCCCCTCTCCCCCAGGACTCCCACCTGCTGCCTGGCTAGCACAACCCTACACAGCCTTTTGAGAGCAGAACTGGAACCAAGCCTGAGGCAGGGAAAGGAAAACTGTAGCCTTTTCCCTGCCCTCCAGCATCCAGGAAAAGGACATAGTTGTGTTTTTTTTTTTTTTTTGGCAGGGAGGGGTGGGCAGGGAGCATTCCCAATCTCTCAGGCATCCAGATGAGGCTGGGATTTTCCAGTTGTTCTTGGTCTGGGCCAGCCTCAGTCCCTCACCAGGCCGCATGGATTGCTATGTAGATCAGCAGTTGGCCAAGTCCTGTTATAGGAGAATCACCTGGAGGGCTTGTTAAACCCCAGCTTGTTGGGCCCCACACCAGAATTTCTAATTCTGCAGGTCTTGGGTAGGGCCAGCACTCTGCATTTCTGTCAAGTTCCCAGGTGATGCTCCAGATGCTTTGAGAACCTCCAGGCACCTCATCCTCAGCAACTTGGTGTCCTGAGGCAGTGACAGGGAGCTGGGCCATGGCTGGCAAGGCCCAACCTTAGAGGCACCAAAATACCCGGGAAGCTGCTGGAAACAGTCTTGTGGTGAGCCCCCTGTGCGGAGAAGTAAACTAAGGCACAGAGATCAGAGGCAGAGTAGAGAGAGGAGCCAGGATACCAGGGTCCAGTGGAGAGAGGATGGTGATGTAGGATCCCAAAACACAAGGGGTGTTCTGGGGCCCTAGGGGTAATCCTGGTGCCCATCATAAAAATCACAGAATGGGGAGGCTCACAGAACCAGCCAGAGATCTTCCCAGACTTGGGCAGGGTCTCCAGATTCCCGGCTGAGGTTCTTCTTCCCAGGAGCAGTTTGAGTTGGTATCCGAATGGAGTGTGACAACACATCCAGGCCCTGACTACCTCGACCCTTCAAGGATGCTTCGAGGAAACCAGAGCTCCTTCCTTTAGGGCCTGAGGTCCCGTGGGCTGGTAAAGGGCAGGAAGGGAGGGAAACAGGGCTGACGGGATAAACGAGGGTCCAAGGAGGGTGAGGGAAGAGTAGTAGGTACTGGGGAGGAGCCCTGGTCCGGGGAATGCAGGCCCAGCACTATGTCCCCTTTGGTTTTTGGGTCTGTGGACTTCGCGAACTTCAAACACTGTTGAGAGGGGTAAGGGGTAAAGCCAGGACAAGCTGTTCTGGAGGCAGCGAGGCCCCGGGGAGAGCAGAGAGGATGGTGGGGTGTCAAACGGACAGACCAATGGATGAATGACCTAGGGACAGAAGAACACAAGCCAGGCTGCATCTTCTTTACAAACAAGGCTAGGCAGGACTGGATAGGGTACAGGAGCCCAGAAGGAGGGATTCAAGCCCTGCCCCCCACAACAGTTGACAGTGATGGGGTCCTGAGGTTGGGGACAGAGAAGATAATGTGGTTCAACAGTGGACCTAGGAGATGTCCTGCTGGGCTGGGAGGTCGCTGGGGCCAAGCCCAGTGAGAAGGGCTGGCAAGGCTGATGCTCTCTGAGGTGTTGGAAAGGTGCCTCCTTTAGTGTGAGAAAATGCAAAATAAATAAAACAGAACCCAGGAAACACCACCAGCTATGACAGCAAACGTCGGAGTCGGGCAACCAAAGACGCAGGTGCTTCCGGGACAGGACGGGAGTGGGAGCCCGAGAGGGCAGGGAGGGGTTGCTGAGGTAGCAGGGAAGTCCATGGCAGGGAGCAGAGCTGGAGAGGCTGTTCTGGGAGGGCTGAGGGATGGGTGCTAAAGCAAGCTTGGGACTTGAGAAAAACCTGGCTACGTACGGGTCAGGGCGACTTGGTATGTTGGTGAGAACTGGCCGAGAAAAGGAGGCAGGAGGAGGGGAAGCTTTGGAGGACGATGGTTAACAGAGGAGGATGGGTGGGGGGAGGGGAGCGAACAGACCGAGCCCAGAGAGAGGAAGGGGCTCGACCAAGAGGACGGAATGGCAGAGTGGGGTCTCATTCACCACTGGGGATGCGGGATCTGCTAGGAGTCAGGAAACCAGCGTTCTGGTCTTGACTGTGCCTTTAGTTTACTGTGGGTTTACTTGGGTGAGCCACTCTCTTCTCTGGGCCCAATTTTTCATCTAAAAAGGTGAGGAGGTTTGACACAAAAGTCCAGATATTGTGTGATTCCATTTATATGACCTACCTAGGTGAGGGAAATTCATAGAAACAGAAAGTGGAGAAGAGGTTACCAGGGACTTGGGGAGGGGGCGATTTATTGTTCAGCGGGTACAGGGTTTCAGCCTGGGTGATTAAAAAGTTCTAGGAATGGTTAGTGGTGATGGTTGCATGGTTTCAAGTCTGGGTTAGGTAGTGAGTGGCATATTCTGGGTGTCCTGTACCCACAAAAAAAAGTCCCCAGTGGGGCAGTGGGTTTACACAGCAAGCAGGACCGAGTTGGGCTGGGGGATCCGATGGACCCAGGTCCTAGTCTAGGTTCGATGACTTCCCAGTTAGGTGACTCTGGGATGAGCCCTGCACCTCAGTCTCCTGATCTGCACTAACCCCTGTCCTGCCAAGGCTTCCTCCCAGAGCTGTCCCTGAAAGGTCTGAAGCAGATGTGGGATAGGGGAGCAATTTCTAGATAGCAGAGTACTCTAGGCGGGGTGTGCAGGGGATGATTATTAGTATGAGTGAAGAGGTAGTGGGAGCTTGGGGGGGCTGGTGAGGTTGGAAGGTGGGGGACATTCTGGATGGGAGGGGAGAGGGAGGAGGAGCCTGGAAGCTGGGTGGGCGAGAGGAGAACAGGCTGGGTGATGAAACCATGAAAGGTGCATAGGGGTGGGTATGATGGAACCACGTGACAGTCAGCATGTGGGAGGGTGAAGTCTTTGGGTCCCTGACTTTGTCAGCTGGGGAAGCAGCTGGGAGAGGAGCGTCCCTGGGAAGACCAAGAGGTGGGATCTATTTCGAGTTCAGAGAAAGCAAGACCTCTTGGAGGTATTTTTAATTTGGTCAGCCTTTGGTGGGGAATGACCTGGGAGGGAAAGAGGGGGACAGGAATTGGACACAGATGCCTTGTGCACACAAGATCTAGGAGCCACTGATGTGCCAAAGTGGTCTGATTTTCATTTCAAATACAGACATCATTGCCCCCAGGAGGGTCAAGTTTGGCTCTGGGAAGAGGTCGGACATAAGAAACGTGAGGTTGTCCAGTTCAGGGTCAACCGGGGCAACTGGCCCCCCACCTCCCCCCCCCAACTGGTGCCGGCACGACAGATCCAAGCCCAGTGATCTGTAGGGCGTTAGGACCCCAGGGTTCCTTGGGACCTTGGTGGGAGAGAGTGGAGATGGTGGAAAAGGAAGAAGAATAGAGGAGGTCAGGGAGAAAGAAGAGGAGGAAGGGCTGGGAGTCCAGTGGTGGAGGAGAAGTAGGAAGGGGAGAAAGGGAAGAAGGGCAGCGTTCCTTCCTGGGACCCCCGTGCTCCAGGGGAATCCCCACTGTGGGGCAGGCAGTTTTCTGCTTTGGGAATGTTACCAAGACTTAAAAGGCATTTGAAGAAACAAACAAACTTAGAGATTACATTCCAAAAGAGTAGAGAGTTTTTACAAACCAACCCCCCCACCCCAAAAAAGAAAACACAACCAGTTACTAATTAAAATGCTAAAAATCAAACCAAACCAGTATTTACACATAACATTTTCAACCCCATCGAGCCCCACGTCCAGAGGCTTCTGCAGGAACAGTGATGAGTGGCCTTGCACAGTGGAATGCAGGAAGTAGACACTCAAGGACTTCACTGAAAACCAAGATCCGGAGCCTCTGACAGCAGCTGGGGGCCGGGTGGCCAGGTGCCGAGACAAGAAAAGTGTAAGGACAGCGTTGGACGAGGGTGATGGTAAGGCTGAGCGGTCCGTAGGCCTCAGGTCTCACGAGGATTTCTCCCCAAGGCTGGGAGGGAAGCCTCCCTGGCCCTCCATAGCTTGGGGAGGTGGCAGAAGGCCTCTGGTGGCATGTGGCCTGGTTTGAGTCCCCTCACCTGGAGATAACCTTGGAGGGACCCCCTGACCTTTTGAGTGGGAGCAGTAGCATCCTGGGGCGGGGGACTGGCCCATGGCTC